CAAACATGTTAAAGCATTAGGTGTTCATCTCTATTCAACTGAAAATGAAGAAAAAAGCTGTGTAGTTGAACGTTGGAATAGAACAATGAAAGAAAAAATGTTTAAATACTTTTCTGCTAATTCAACTAGAAAATACATTGATGTTTTAGATGAAATGGTAAATCAATACAACAACACAAAGCATTCTTCAATTAAAATGACACCCGCTGAAGCAAGCAATAAAAAGAATGAAAATAAAGTTTGGTTAAATTTAAATGGTAAAGTAAAATCAAATCCTATTCAACCTAAGTTTACAATAGGTGATAAAGTAAGAATAATTAAAAAGAAGGGAGCATTTGAAAAAGGATACACACCTAGATGGACTGAAGAAGTATTTACTATATCACAAGTTCAATACACAGATCCACCCACTTATAAAATAACTGATTATAATAATGAAGAAATACAAGGTACTTTTTATGAACAAGAACTTCAAAAAACAAGTCAAGAGATATTTAGAATTGAAAAAGTTATTAAAAAACAAGGTAATAAATCATTAGTAAAGTGGTATGGGTATCCTGATACTTTTAACTCATGGGTTAATAATACAGAATTGAAAAAAATATAAATAATTTTTTACTATTAAAAAAATGAACAACTCAAATGTAAATGTGAATATATGTGTAACAGCTACTTCTGGTAATGCTAATACAAATACAACTGTAACAACAACAACTTCAAATTATAGCAATGTATCTAGTAAATGATGTAAAAATTAAAAAAATTGAAAATAATTTAAATAATTTTCTTTTATATATAAAAAGAATGACATATGTAGATATTGAAAATTTTGATGAAGCAAATTTATATGTAAAAGAAATAAAAAAATTTAATAAACCTGTTCAATATCAAAAAATAGTAATTGAATACAAATATAATGATAAGCTTTCAGAACCTTTAAGAGTAAAAACTCCAAAATCGTTATCATATGGAGTTTGTGAAAATAGAGACATGAAAACAAAAGAACTTACAGGATACTCAATTCCTTTTGTATGTGAAAATGATATATTTATCGCAATTATTGAAGCTATTGAAAAATTTTGTAGAAATAAAGTTATTGAAAATGAAGCAACGTTAAAAAAAGGGGGTATGAAAAGCTTAAATATTAACAACTTGAATATTTTAAAGTATAGAAATGATGATTTTAAAGCATCTCCAGTTATATATGCAAAAATACCAACAGATTATAAAAGTAAAAAGATGGATCAAGTATTCAGAAATAAAAATGGTGATATTTTAGGAGAAAGTCTTATTAAAAAAAGATGTGATGTTGTTGGATGCTTAGCAATTGAAGGTATATATATAGGATCAATGATTCAATCTATTCAAGTAAAATTATTAGATGCAGTTGTATCTAAAAATGAGTATAAGATAGAAAGATTTTATATTAAAGATGTAGACTTAGAAAGCGAAGATGAAGAGTAAATATTAATTTTATATATTAGCAAATAATATATAAAATGAGATTGCAAAACAATCTAGGTCTCTTTGATCTAAATAATTATTATAAATATAAAAAATGTATATTGAAATAGAAAAAAATAAACAAAATCCAGTTATAATTAAATTTGATGATATTATTAAACTTGATGAAAATAAAGAGTATGAAATGGCATTGGATAGATTTCAAACTATTCTCTATAGCGATTCAACTAAAAACAAAAAAGTATATATATTAAATAATCTTGTAGATGGAAAAATTGTATCTAATAATGGAAATGCTAAGAAAACGACTGTAATGTATTCATTTATACCTATTATTGTTTCTAAAAATTCAGTTATTAATGAACAACCGATATCTAAGAAATATTTTCCTTTAAAAACAAAATCCATTTCAGAAATGAAAATTGACATCATTGATAACTTTAATAAACCTATAGATTTTAATAATGAAAGTTATACCATAGAATTTCATATAAGAGAGAGAAAGTAGATCCATATAAATTTTTTTATATTGAAAACAATATAAAAAATTATGACATATATAAAAAATGTCAATAACAATACATATATCTTCAAACGATACTGTTATAAATACTAATATGGCAGTACCTATTGAACTAGATGCAGATAAAGAGTATGGAATAGCTCTTAAAAAATTAATGACTTATAATAGTTTTCCAAATATTATTGAAGGATTAAACAATACTATAAATATTACTATAGAAGCTAGTGATAATCCTGGTTTTCAACAAATTAAGATCCCAACAGGATCCTATGAACTTAGAAATATAAATGCAATTGTAACTAGATATGTAATGACTACTCTTAAAGATCAACTTGCTAAATATAAAGAGTCTTTTAAAAATGTACCAAGCACAGATATTGAAAATTATAAAAAAAAACAAAAGTATGATAGTATAAGACTTGATCCTACATCTATTATATTTGAAGCAAATTTTAATACTGAAAGATCACAGATTATTATTAATAAAAATAGCAATATTAGAATACAACTTGATGATGACTCTATAAAAAATCTTTTAGGTTTTAATAATAGAGATCGTGATGGTAATCTTATAACATTTGACTCATCAAAAGTATATATTTCAGATAAAGTAATAGATATAAATCATGTTAATACTATTAATGTAACAAATAGCCTTGTAACAGGATCAATTATAGATGGTGCATATTCAAATGTTATATATTCATTTTATCCATCTACGCCAGTGGGTTATAAAATTGTAGAAGTACCGAATAATCCAACTTATTATAGATTATTATCAAAAAAAATTTGGGATATGAAAACAACAATAATGGATCAAGATGGGCATATACTTACTTTACAAGGGGAACCAATAAGTATTGAATATGAAATAAAAGAAATTGTGTCAAAATGTAAATCAGAACATCTTTTAGAAAGACAAGTATCTCTCTTAGAAGAACAAAATGGACTTTTAAAAAAACAATTAAGATAATCCCAAAGTGAATTAAAAAATATATATTGTAAATAAAATGTTAGATATAAATAATAAAGGATATACTCGAAAGTATGTAGTCGGTGGAAGTGGAGTATTTACAGATATAAATAATATGTATAATCAGGCAAAATCTTCTGATTTTTTTAGAGCATTATCTGGTATGAAAACAATGTTAACTAATCATTTTAATAAAAATGGACCAATAATTAAATAAGTCTCTTGAGACCTAGATTCATTTAAAATGAATTAAAAAATATATAGTGTAAATAAAATGTTAGTTATAAATAATAAAGGATATACTCGAAAGTATGTAGTAGGTGGAAGTGGACTATTTACACCTTTTTTAAGTATGTTAAATAAGCAAGTACTAAGTAATGCATTTAATGTATCTCGTAATTTTGCCAGTAGAGCAGCTGCTACAGACTTGGGAAAAACTGCTGTAGATGCAGCAAAGTCAGCAGGGAAAGAACTTGCAACTTCTGCAATATCTACTGCTAAAGAAATTGTAATAAATAAAGGTAAAAAATTAATAGAAAATGTAAATAAATCATCTAAGCTAACACCTGAAAATAAACAAAAACTTAAAAATTTAATAAATACTTTAGATAATAAATTAAATGAAGCAGTGCCAGATATTAGTAAAATCATGATGGGGTCGTCAATAAAAAGTAAACCTGTTAGAATACAAGATTTAGTTAAAAAACATAAAGGCGATGGGCTTAGAATAATATAATTTTATAAATAGCAGAAAGTGATTTAAAAAAATTATATTGCATATATAAAAATGGTAAAATCTGATATATTTAATATTACTGATAAATTAGTATATGACGAGGAAATTAAAAAATATGAAGAATATGAATTTACACCCTCTGTTAATTCTAATTTAAATTCAGGAGAAATAAGAATTTTTATTGAAAGCAGTGATTCTTTTTATCATCCGCATAACTCCTATTTAGAAATTGAAGGAAGGCTTGTAAAAGCAGATGGGGCTGCATATGCAGATGGAGATGCAATAACACTAGCAAACAATGGTATTATGCATTTATTTGAAAGAATTGAATATAGATTCTTTGATCAACCTGTTGAAATAATTAATTTTCCAGGTATAGCAACTACAATGCTTGGATTATTAAAATATCCGAATGACTTTCAACAATCAAAAGCATTAAGTCAATTGTGGTATAAAGATAATATAGCAGCAGCAGATTTAGTTAATAATATAGGATTTTCAGCAAGACAGCAATATATCATTAAAAAACCAACTTCAAAAGGTAAATTTGAAGTTAGTATTCCATTAAGACATATTTTTGGATTTTGTGAAGATTATGATAAAGTTTTTTATGGATTAAAGCATGAACTCTTTCTGTTAAGACAAAGCGATGATTATGCAATTTTTAGAGCTGCTGGTGTAGCTGCAGGAAAAGTAGATATTACAAGAATATCATTAATGATGAAACGTGCAACTCCATCTTTGATAAAAGAAAATGAACTTGGTAATATAATACTTAATAAAGAAATACTTGATTTTGGTTTTAGATCAAGGTACTGTAGTAAAACTAATGTTCCACAAAATACTTCATTTGAGTGGGACTTAGGAACAAAAACTACTGAAAAACCTAGATATATACTTGTTGGTTTTCAAACAAATAGGAGTGGAAATCAAGAACAAAATGCTTCAATATTTGATCATTGTGATTTGAGAAACATGTGGATTAATATTAATAATGACGAAAGATATCCTGCGACTAGTTATAATTTATCATTCCCAAATATGAAAATTAGTAGAGCATATAAAAATGCATCTAATTTTGCTGAAGATTATTATAATATGACTGATCTTATTAGTCTATGTGGTATTACTCCTTCAGATTATAAAGATTTATATCCTATTATGTATTTTGATGTAAGTAAACAATCAGAAAAAATGAAAAATAATATTGCAACTATTAAAATTCAAGCAGAATATAATACACCTGTTCCAGCAGGTACTTTAATATATGCTCTCATCATTTCAGATAGAATTGGAAAACTTACTTCTAATGGAAATAAATTTATGTTTGAATATTAGGTTACTTTGGAACTCAGACTTCGTTAGGTTCTGAAAGAAAAATAATTATTTTAAAAAAATATATATGCAATAAAAAAAATACTATTATTTAAATTATTTGAAAATAATTTAAATAAATTTTCTTTATATATAAAAAAGAATGAGTGATAAAATAAAATATACGAAAAAGTATTTATTAAATTTATTAAAAGATAATAATATACAACAAACATCTAAAGATCCTATGGCATTAGTTATGATTGCTATGGATAATAATTTAATTGATAAAGATTCTGTAAAAACAAATATCATTACTAAGAAACAAAAAAAACCAAAGATTGAAAGAGTTAAAAGAGTTAAAAAAGAAAAAGTAATAAAAGAAAAAAAATCTGCTGGAAGACCAAAATTTCTTCCAACAAAAGAAAAAAAAGAAAGAGATCCTAAATATGATTATCTCACAAAAATTAGAACAGATCCATGGGGAATTAAACTTACTAATATGGAAACTGGTGAAGTTAAAAATTACAAATCATTTTATGACTATAATAAAAAAGAAAAGCGCTCTAAAACTTATATTTTTAGTAGAAATGGGAAGATTGTAGATGGAGTAAAAATTGAAATAATTAGAGCAAGTAAAGAAAAAGATGCATTATCACAAAAATAAAATAGATAATGAAAAATAATTATTTTTATAGACTTTTTCTATAAAAATATAAAAAGAAATCGTTTTTTTGTATTATTTAATTTTCTTTACATAAAAAATAAAAAATTGAAAATGATATAAATAATTTTCTTGTATATATAAAAATGGAAAATAGAAATATAAAAGAATTAAAACAAATCGCAAGAAATCGAAAAATTAAATATTATTATAGAATGGGAAAAGCAGATCTCATTAGAGCAATTGATCAAGCAACTCCTATATTAGATATGCCTATTCCAAATAATATTACACAAAATACTTTAGCACCTACACAATATGTTCCAGTTAGTTATATTAATACCATTAAGAACAAAGTGAGTTCATTATCTAATTGGATTATGGATTTTGTTCCTGTACACCTTAAAAAGACTGCAAATGATAAAATTAAATCAGTAAAGTCTGCTGTTTCTGATTTATATGGTTTAACTATAAGTAAAAAACCAATAATAGAATTTAAATTAACACAATCATCTCTTAAAAATGTGACAAAGCAATTTTCAGCTGAAGGAGTTGAAAGAGCTGATGCTTTATCTTATATGAAATCAGCTAAAAATAATGTATTAAATATTTTAAATAGTAATAAAGAATCAAAAATCTATATTGTTCTTTCATGTGAAATGGAGCGTACTGATCTTAAAACAGGAGAAACTATAACAACTATTGCATCCTTTTCAACAAAAGCAGAAGTTGTTTTAGAATCAACAGATTTAAATGAATTCTATGAAAGAGCTGAACAGAAAATTTTAGAATCCTTGTCAGCATTTCAACAACTAGGATCAAGTTGGAGATTTGTTTCTGTTGAAAAGATGGATATAAATATCATTGAATATAAACCGCTTAAAGGTAAATCTTACATTCCTCTTCCTAAAGAGTTGGCAGCTAAAAAAGCAATTATTAATATGAAGAATGAAGACAACGAATGCTTTAAGTGGTGTGTTGCTAGATTTTTTAATCCTAAAGAAAAAAATTCTGAAAGAGTAGATAAAGATTTAAAAGAACAATCTGAGAAATTAAATTGGGAAAAAATAAAATTCCCAGTATCACTACAACAGATTACTCAATTTGAGAAAAATAATCAAGACATCAGTGTTAATGTATTTGGTTATGAAAATTCTGTTTATCCTTTAAGAATATCTGAAAACAAAAAAAGACAACATGAAATAGATTTATTACTCATTTCAAATGATAAAACTAATCATTATTGTTTAATAAAAAGTTTAAGTAGATTACTTTCATCACAAATATCTAAAAATGAACATAAAATGTTTTTTTGTCGAAATTGCTTGTTAGGATTTTGTAATGAAGAATCTTTATCAAAGCATCAATTGTATTGTGATACTCATGATTCAGTACGAATTGAACTTCCAAAACCAAATACAATGATTGAGTTTAATCATTTTAAAAAATCTATGAGAGTTCCTTTTGTAGTCTATGCTGACTTTGAAAGTGTTATAAAACCAATCAACACTTGTACACCTAATCCAAATGAATCTTATACAAAGCAGTACCAAAAGCATACACCTAGTTCATTTTGTTACTATATTAAATGCTTTGATGAAAAAATATATCAAAGTAAACTAGTTACATTCACTGCAAGTAATGAAGATGAAGATGTAGCACAAAAATTTGTTAATATGCTAGAAGTAGATGTAAAAAAGATTTACAACGATTATTTAAAATTTAAAAAAAATATGATATTTACTATGAAAGACAAAAATAATTTTGATAATGCAGAAAAATGCCACATTTGTGAAAAAGATCTTAATAATGATAAAGTACGAGATCATTGTCATATTACTGGAAAATATAGAGGTGCTGCACATAATGAGTGTAATTTACAATTTAAAATTCCAAAATTCATTCCAGTACTATTTCACAATTTATCAGGTTATGACTCTCACTTGTTCATAAAGAAATTGTCAGAAGGAGGATAATCAGAAGGAGGAAAAATAAATTGTATACCCAACAATGAAGAAAAATATATCAGCTTTTCTAAAGAACTTAAAGTAAATGAATTTATGAATAGAGAAGGTAAAAAAGTTGAAGTTAAACTGTATCTACGTTTTCTAGATAGTTTTAAATTTATGGCTGCTAGTTTAGATAGTTTAACTAAAAATTTGTCAAAAGATCAATGTAAAAATATTAGTAGATACTATTCTGGAAATGAACTCAATTTATTGTTAAGAAAAGGTGTTTATCCTTATGAATGGGTTGACTCTATTGATAAATTAAATGAAACACAACTACCACCAAAAGAATCATTTTATTCAAAATTAAATGATGAAGGAATAAGTGATGAAGATTATTTACATGCTCAAAATGTATGGAAAGAGTTTAATTGTAAAACATTCAGAGATTACCATAATTTATATAACGAATCTGATGTATTATTACTAGCTGATGTCTTTGAAAATTTTAGAGATGTCTGTTTTAACAATTACAAATTAGATCCTGCTTGGTACTATACAGCACCAGGATTAGCTTGGGATGCTGCGTTGAAAATAACAGAAGTAAAATTAGAATTATTAAGTGATTATGATATGATCTTAATGATAAAAGAAGGAATAAGAGGTGGAATTAGTATGGTTTCTAACAGGTTAGGAACTGCTAACAATAAATATATTGAAAATTATGATGAAAGTAAAGAATCTACTTACATACAGTATCTAGATGCAAATAATTTATATGGATGGGCAATGAGCAAACCACTTCCTACACATGGATTTCAATGGATGAATGAAGAAGAATTAAAAAATTGGAAATCTACTTCTTGCATATTAGATGTAGATTTAGAATATCCTGAATATTTACATGATGTTCATAATGATTATCCTCTAGCCCCTGAAAGATTAAAAATAGACAAAGTTGATAAATTAATACCTAATTTAAATCATAAGACAAATTATATCATACACTTTGAAAACTTGAAACTCTATGAAAAACTAGGAATGAAAATAACAAAAATTCACAGAGGAATAAAGTTTGAAGAAAGTGCATGGTTAAGTAAATACATTGAACTCAATACAAATCTAAGAACAAAAGCAACAAATGACTTTGAAAAGGACTTTTTCAAACTTATGAACAATTCAGTATTTGGAAAGACAATGGAGAACATTGAAAACAGAGTTGATGTAAGATTAGTTACAAAAAGAGAAGAAGCTATTAAATTATCATCAAAACCAAATTATGAAAGTAGAACGATATTTGATGATAATTTAATTGCAATACATATGAAAAGAACAAAACTAGTTTATAACAAACCCATTTACTTGGGTATGTGTATTTTAGATTTGAGCAAAACACTAATGTACGAATTTCATTATGATTACATGAAAAATAAATATGGAGATAAAGCTAAACTATTATATACAGATACAGATTCATTAATCTATGAAATAAAAACAGAAGATTTTTATAAAGATATTTCTAATGATATTGAAAGTAAATTTGATACAAGTGAATTTAATAAAGATCATCCAGCTGTTCAAAATGGATTTAAAGTTGGTGTAAATAAGAAAGTAATAGGAATGTTTAAAGATGAATCAGCAGGAAAACAAATTACGGAATTTATTGGACTCAGATCAAAGTTGTATTCTTACAAAATAGATGAAGAAGATAAAAAGAGATGTAAAGGAGTAAAGAGAAATGTAGTAAAAAATTATATTACACATGAAGATTATAAAGACTGCCTTATAAATAAGAAAGATCAAATGAGAAAAATGAATGTCATAAGATCTCATTTACATGATGTTTATACTGAAGAAATAAACAAAATAGCATTGAGTGCAGAAGATGATAAAAGAGTAATTCAAGAAGATGGTATTCACACATTAGCATATGGACATTATAAATTAAAAAAAAGTAAAACATTGGTTCCTTCAGAACCCAAACCCAACTTTTCATTTCAGATTGATTGGAAATAAACAGGCAAGCAGGCAGGCAAACACACAGGTAAGTTATTTTTTTATATCTTAAAAAGATCTAAAAAAATCTAAAACTATTAATAAAAATGGACAAACATATCAATGTTGAAGGAATTATATTGCCAAATGTGCCCTTAACAAACTTTCAATTAATAAAAGCAGCAAAAAAATTAAAAATTAAAAATTTTAGAGGTGTATTTGTAAGAGATGAATTACCTAAAAATACACAAAACAAAGAATGTGGAATATTAAATACTGGAGATTCAAGTACGAATGGATTTCATTGGATTTGTTGGTATAAAGATGGAGAAGAAAAATTAAGTTTTGATTCTTATGCATTACCACCTCCAGTTGAACTTGTTCAATATTTACACAGTCCTGTTTATTATAATAGTAAAAGAATTCAGTTTGGAGACACTTCCTTTTGCGGACACTTGTGTCTTTATGTATTAAAAAAGCTTGATGAAGGTGTTGATTTTCAAAGTATTGAAAACTCATTATACTGAATTAAAAAAATATAGCATATTTAAAATGAGTATGAATATAGCAGGTAGTAATTCATTATATGGTTACACAACAGATGGATTAAATATCAACATTAATGTTGGCAATACAGCCACTACTGATGTTGATTTAAATTCACATAAATTAATCAATGTAGCTGATCCTACAGATGCACAAGATGCAGCTACAAAGTATTATGTAGATAATAATCAGATTTCTAGCAGTTCCTATCTAAAAATAGATGGAACTAATAGTATGAGTGCAAATATTAATTTGAATTCACATAAATTGATTAATGTAGCTAATCCTACTAATGCACAAGATGCAGCTACAAAGTATTATGTAGATAATAATCAAACTTCTAGCAGTGCATGTCTAAAATTAGATGGAACTAATAGTATGAGTGCTAATATAAATTTGAATTCACATAAATTGATTAATGTAGCTGATCCTACTAATGCACAAGATACAGCTACAAAGAATTATGTAGATCGCTTAATTCCTTATCAACATAAATATAAAGTTTTGATTATAGCTGGTCAATCAAATACATATGCTGGTAGAGAATGGGGTTTATCTCAATCAATAACTAATGTAAATTATATGAACAGACGAATAGTCCAATTTGCGATGGGTAATGGACAAAATGATGTGTTACTTCCTTGTTCATTGAGACTAGATGTAAATGAAACAGATAATAATTGTTGGGCAGGATATGGTTCAATACTTGCTGGGCTTATAATGCAAGATGCTGAAGGTGCGAATACATTAAATATGATAAATCCTGATGAATGTTTAATGATACTTCCATGCATGCTAACTGCTAAAAGTTTCAGTAATGATTATTTTATGCCGTATGGAACTGGTTTTAAAAATTTAACTCGTAAAATCAATTACATTTCATCACATTATAACGCAGAGTTTTGCTGTATGACTTGGAGTCAAGGAGAAGATGATTCTAAAACCGGTTGGTGTGATAACTATGCATATATTCTAATGAATTTTATACAAACCATTAGAGATTATATTGCATACTCATCAAGCCAATTTGATACATTGCCAATCTCACAAATAAAAGCAAATAAAATGCTATTCATTACATTTCAAATGCTGTCTTCATGGGTTCAAGCAAACTCAACTACAGCAACTCAAGTTCAAGATGCATTAAAAAATATTATAAATTTTTCTCCATATACAGCTAGTATATCTCTAGATGGTATGCCTCCCAGTCTTAGGAGTGCAAATTTCGATGGAGTACATTATGATTCAAGACAACAAATATTTTTAGCAAACAAATTTTTTGAAGCAATACCAATTGCAATGAATAATATATATGGTGGTGGCTATGGAACACCATATAATTCTGAAGAAGTATTATTAGTTAGACAAGTTGCTGGATATTTATTTCTTAACAATTATTATAGCGCCTATAGAGTATTTAATTCTACTCCATCTACTGCTCAAGTATATAGTACATTATTTACTAATTGGCAGTATAAAAACAAAGATGGCTATTATAAATATAGACTTAAATATAAAATTAATGGTGTATGGAATAGTATTATATTTAAACAAGCATTCCTTCCAATGATGTCGATGCATTACCAAAATGTTGCACAACTCATATCAACAGATACACCATTTGGATGTACAGAATTAGGACAAGGATTTTGCGGTTTAAATTTGACAACTACAAAAAGCATGATGAATTCTGGAGCAGTACTTACACTAGATACAAGTGGTGGTTATTGGGCACCTGTATGTCAAAATATGAGCTATGTATATAATGGACAACCTGCTATGCCTATATTTGATAATTATATACAAAATAGTACTCTTCCATTTGTAGCAACAGAACTAGAATTATACTCTATAAGAGACCCTATATAATATTGTTAATAAATAAATTCCAGCGCATGCGCATTAAAAAAAAATAAAAAAATTTTGAAAATGAGTTAAATAATTTTCTTGTGTATATAAAAAAGAATGAATCAAGAAAATAATATTGAGAATAATTTTTTAATAAAACCTTCAACTCAAATATATTATATTACTACAATATTAAAAAAATATAGGTATAAAAAAGGTAATAAGGTTGATTTTGCTGCAAGTATAGGCAGAAATGATCTTATTAAATTATTAAATCAATTAGGTGAAAAGAGTACAGAAGATGTACAAAAATATTTACATTCGTTAGGTTATAAAGGTATAGAAGATGCAATAGATAATGCTGTAAAAGAAGGTCAACTTGAAATATTAAAATATTTACATGAATTAGGGTATAGAGGACCTGAAGATTTAATTGATATTGCTGCTAAAGAAGGTCAACTTGAAATATTAAAATATTTACATTCGTTAGGTTATAAAGGAGATGAATGGACAATTCATTGTGCTGCAAAAAATGGACATCTTGAAGTACTTAAATATTTACATTCAATAGGATATAAAGGTACAGAATATAATGTATATTCTGCTGTTGAAAGTGGAAATCTTGAAGTAGTAAAATATTTACATGAATTAGGGTATAAAGGAAATGAATATGCATTTAATTGTGCAGTAGGATATGATCACCTTGAAATAATTAAATATTTACATGAATTAGGGTATAAAGGTACAGAATCGTTTTTTAATTCAGCTGTTAAAAATGGATATATTTAAATTTTGATACATGTAGTGACTATAAATTCTAGTAGTGATAAAGTTATGCAATGCTCCTACACATAAACAAAATCTAAAATAAATTCCAGCGCATGCGCACAGATCTGAAAGATCAGTTAGCGCACAAGAGCAATCTGCGATAGCAAGAAAAAAAATTGAAAATAAATTTCTTTACATAAATTATAATAAATGGATTTTACAATTAAAGATATTAAATTAGGAAGTTATAAAAGAAGAATAAGTTTAGCTCGTTATTTGCAAAATAAAATTAAATTACATGCTGAAAAGTTAGAAAATGAAAGATTAGAAGAAGAAAAGTTAAAAACACCAGATCAAATTTATTATTGAAGAAAAGTCACGTGACGTCATTTTAAGAATTTTTCGTAACATTTCATAACAAGAAATAAAAATTAACACTTATTTTAAAAAATCAATTTTTTAAAATAAAAAATTATTTCTTGTTGAAATAATTTATACACAATATGGCTCAATGTTAACCCAATATTAATATTAATTTATGGTTGAAAATTTGGTTGAAAATAAAAATGAGCAAGAATCGGCAATCTCCTACTACTATTGAAAATTATACTTTAACTCTGAACCCAAATATAAAGTTTATTTTATTAAAAAGCCATACCCCAACCAAACCCTAAGCCAAACCTAAACCAAATTTGGAGCCTAACCTTAAGTTTCAGGGTTGGGGTTTGGTTAGGGTATGGCTTTTAACAATTCTCGTTTCGTATAAGCGCTTTTTATGGACTTACTAAAGGGGGTGCCTAAAATACACGTCCGTCGAACGTTATAATGAAAAATATACATATTTTAGGAAAACTTACAAAATTAGGTATAACAGCTATCTAAACTAAATAATACAGCCAGTATTGTTTTTATATAATAAATTTTATATAAAAACTGACCAAGCCTGATATTGATGTGTATTTGTTTCTCAAATTTTGAAAATTTTCTAGTTTATAAAAAGTTCATTTGAAAAATAACATTTAATTGTAAAACTTTATTTGAATTATGCGAATTAAATGTAAAACTTTGTAAATGTAAAATTTTATTTATAAAAATAATTATTTATTTATGAAAAAAAATTTACCACAACAAAAACATTTTAGTGAAGAAGAAATCTAGGCACTGTTTCAGTTGCCTACCCCTACCATTTTATGATTGATTTCGATAGAAAATTTCATGCTGATTAAGAATCGAATAAAAACATTGACCTGAAAATTTGAAGAAAGCTCTCTTATTTGATGTTGAAGTTTAAAAAATTACACTAAAAAAGCTAATAATCGCCATTTTTTTCACACGCGAAAGTGATTAGCTTTTTCTTAGTTAACTTAAAAACAACCCGGTTTTTATTAACACTTTACTGAAACACTATTTAAAGCAAAACCTATTAGTTTCTAACTGATTCTGACCCAAACCCTAACCATGTATGTTTAATTGCGCCAATCCCTATTTGTCAGTCGATGTATGTACTTTTAATTGCGCCAATCCCTATTGGTCAGTCGATGTATTTACATCTAAAAAGCTGACTCAAGATTTTTTTTTTTAATAATATATATATATGGGATCGTCCATAAATTACGCAACGCAAAAAAATATTTTAAGAGCAGAAATAGGAGATATTAAGCTCTTTTACGCGGTGATTTTCATTTAACTTAATTTGCTATTTTGATTATTTATTTAAATTAAGACTCTGCGAGAGAAAACTTTTGATCTTTTTTGTTTTGTTTATTGTGAAATTTTGCGTTACGTAATTTATGGACAATCCCTATATATAAGTATATGCATGTATATATATATATATATATATATATATATTTTTTTTTTTTTTTTTTTTTAATTTTACATTTGTTGGTCGTATTACAACTATATATTGCCAAAAAAAATAAAATAAAAATAATGATGATAATATTAAACTTTCACAAATATAAAATAAGGTATCTGAAAGAAGATCAAAGGATCTTGTCGTCAGAACCTTAAATAAGTTCAAACAAGCATTAACAGTATCAAATTTTTACAAATTTCATATATATATAATCCAAATATATATTTTATAATCCAAAGAGAGATCACGCGGATCTACTCACTAATATTTTATATAAACGTATACGTGAAGTAAAGAATATAAAATCAGCAAAATAAGTAAGAATAAACTTTTTACAAATATAAATAAGAAAAGGCAAAGTTATTAATTTATATTATTAATAATAACATAATACGTCTTCTAATGAAAAAATAAGGGTTTTTAATTTACTTTTAAAAAAACGAAAAGTAATGGGTAGTTCGAAATCAAAATTGGGCAAAACAATTTTATTCCAAAGGTGTGGTGCCCGATAGACAATACAAAATTGATTAATGTTCGTTTGACAGAAAGGTTCATTTAAAAAAACAGTATTTCTCAAATTGTATTTGTATATATATATATATATATATATATATATATATATATATATATATATATATATATATATATATATATATATATATATATATATATATATATATATATATATATATATATATATACTCATAATATTTAGCTAAATTTAAATAATTTTTAATAACGACGACAATAAAAACCAGGTAGCGTAATTAAAAAAAAGGATTTTCTAAATGATTGATTTCTAAATGAAAACCGATTAAAAGACGTTTTTAAAAAGATGGCGATATCAGCGTTTTTAGTGTAATTTTTTAAACTTTAACTTTAAATTAGAGTACTTTCCTCAAATTTTCAGGTCAATGTTTTTACACGAATCTTAATAAACATGAAATTTTCTATTGAAATCAATCATAAAATGATAGGGGTAGGAAACTGAAACAGCACCGAAATCAAAAATTTAAAAATTTTATTTCTAATTTTAAAACTTTTTTTGTTCTAAAAAATAAGTAGGAAAGAAAAACTCTAATTCATTTGTTAAAAAAAGATTTCTGATGTAAAAAGAAATTTGATGAGTCTTTATATATGAAACACAATGTAGAATAAAAAAATTTTCTACTAATTTATTGCTTTGTTCTTTTAAGAACATTTAAACAGAACAATTAAAATCTGCAAACCAACAAAATGGCAAGCGATACAATAGATTTTGAAACCTATTACTCCGATTATTTTTAAACATGGGAAATTATGAACGAAGTTATTGGAAAAACCAAAATTAAGCCCGAAATATTACCCTCCAGAATTGAGGAAGATGGATTGGAGTATACAGATAAAAAAATCTCCGACAAATTTAATAATTTTTTTGTAAATATCGGTTCTAAACTGGCATCCAAAATAAACAAATCGAACAATTCATTTAATAACTATTTTACTGATCATTCCAGTTCATTCTCTGAGAGTGACCTTAAATCTTAGAAATTTTAAGAAGCAACAAAATCAATTAGAAAAAACAAAGCTCCGGGCATCGATGACATTTCTAGCAATGTAGTACATGATATTTTATATATTTTAAAAGATTTTTAAAGGTTTTCAAGTCATCAATAAGAACTTGAGTTGTTCTAAACAAATTAAAAATTGCGAAGATTTTACCTATATTTCAATCTGGAGATACGGCCTTGCTAACCAATAATAAACCTCTCAATTCTTCCAGTGTTTTCCAAACTCCTGGAAAGAATAATGTACAACCGACTTTATAAATATTTAACAGCCGATAAAATTCTAAGTGAATGTCAATATGGCTTTTAAACAAATCATTCTACGAAGCATGCAACCTTAGACCTAATGGACAACATTAGATCATCTTTTGATAAAGGAAAATTTGTATTGGGAGTTTTTATTGATCTTACAAAAGCTTTCGATACTGTTAACCATAAAATTCTGCTCTACAAAATGAGAAAGTACGGTATAAAAAACCAAACTATTAAATGGTTCACTAATTATTTAAATAAGAGACAACAATATGTTATAAAGAACCCAAGCAATTAAATTTCTTGGTGTGATTATTGAGAAAAATTTTTTATGGACAGCCCATATAAATGCCATCAACACTAAAATATCTAAAAGTATTGGTATACTTTTTAAAGCTAGACCATTTTTATCACAAAAAAACCTTAAACTTCTTTGCTTTTTCTTTATACATAGTTATCTCACATATGCCAACATTGCTTGGGGTTGCACACACAAGACAAAGTTAATGTCCCTTTATCGACGACAAAAATATGCCTCTAGAATAATACATTATAAGAACAAACTGACCCACGCTAAACCCCTATTAAAAGAAATGAAAGCCCTAAACATTTACCAAATTAATATATATATATATTTTTTTCAATATTTATTTCGCCTTCTACAATTTTCAAATATATACAACAAAATAAGTAATGGCTGGAACAAGAAGAAGACATAATTCTGTCTTTTCACCGAGTCCCATTTTTATAAAATCGTGATATGTAAATATTATATTATATTGGCGTAATTGCTAAAATGCTAACATTATCTGCAGTTGCAAAAAGAAAAAGAATGCAGCTGCAGTTGCAAAAAAAAAAAAAAAAAAAACGATTACATACTCGTATAAAAATAGGATAATTAAAAAAAAAAAAAAGATATATACATATATTTATATTAAGAGAGCAATATCATTAATAAACTTTGTTATTGTGGGTTGTGATAATAACATTCTTTTAAAATAATTTTTTTTTAATTATCTTGATTTTTTATTAAAGCTTTACTTTTTTTAAAAAAAAACATTTAAAATCTAGCATAGTGAGATCCATAAATAAGAACAACCGTTTAGATTCTTTTTTAAATCGATCAAGAGTGGTTTTCTTTTTATTTGTTATATCTGAAAATCTTTTTATTTGTAATATCTGAAAACTCCTAATGTAAAATAATCGTTGTTTAGGGCGTCCGATATTTCGTTCACAAGCTCGACTACTACGTGTTCAATTGAATGCTTTTTTTTGAACCCAAACTATTTTTTAAACAAGATTTCGTTTTTTTTCAGATAATCATAAAGCCTGTTGTACATTATACGTTCAAGTATTTTTATGAAACAAGGCAAGATTGAAATTGGTCAGTAGTTTGAAATGTTGGAGTCATCTCCACTCTTAAATATTGGAGTGATTCAGGCAATTTTTAACTTATCCGGAATAACACTTGATTTTAAAGAATGTTTAAAGATACGTAATATAAATGTTTCAATGACATCAAGTACAGATATTACAACGTTAGCGCTAACTTGATCAAAAGCTGCGCTTTTATTTTTTTAAATCTATTAAAAGCATCTCGCAATTCGCAAACTTTAAGATTAGATTCATCTATATGCGTATTATATCTTTTTGAATAAAAATCAAAACTTATTGAGCTCAGCAAAATTGTTTTAGCTAAGTTCGGCCCAATATTGGCAAAGAAGCTGACAAGATTCTCAAAAATAGAAAATGTTGGATAAGCTAGCTTTTTATTAATCGAAAGTTTTTTTGGAAGAATATTTTTAATATTTTTGTTTTTTCCAATTATTTCATTAATAACATGATGTTTTTTTCGTGTTTTCATTTGTTTTTTCTAATATTTTTGCGTAATTTATTTTTTTAGATTGTTTTTTGGTTTTTTCAAATAGATTTTTATAATTTTTTTATGTTGTCTCATTTTTATACGTTTTTTTGAAAGAATTTATCGAGTTTTCGTTGATCAGTCGCTTATAGATGGTCGTTTTAGAAGGATATCCGCATAGTACTATGTTACTAGAAGCTAAAAAAGTGGGGAAATATCTATGCTAATATATTGCTCATGCTAAAATACAAATTAGGATTAGTTCCAAACCGATTTACAGAAAGTTTCTTTCAATTTAATATCAACAAATTTAACACAAGAGCAACTAGTAACTTTATTGTACCCCGAAAAAGACAAAAAAATTCACAATTTTATATTTCTTATCGCGGCCCTTATTTAATAACAAATTAATTCCGAATTATACCTCAATTTCACTTGCTGACAATATAACTTCTTTAAATTCAAAACTAAAAAATCATGTTCTCAATACAGATAATTATTAGAAATGTTATAGTTCTAATGATAAATTAATACTTACGATCACATTCAAACAATCAGCAATTAATCAAAAATAAAAATGCATTTTTTTTTATTTTTGATTAATACAGCTAATACTATTATTATAAACCACAACACTAACACCATACATGGTCGTTTAGATATTAGTAAAAAGCGCAGTTTAGGTACGCATGCGTAAGAAAAATTCGAACTTTTAAAAT